TTCCTTGGTGCGTCAATTACATAAAATCAATCTATAATAAAATGGAGCAATATCTAAATCTGGACCGATTTTCACGAAACAAGGCAGACATCACTCTAGGCTCAATTCAGTACGTTATGCCAAATTTCGTGCAAATCGAAAGATATATAGCGACTTTGGTGAACCATTTACATGAAATCGGACGAAACTATATGTGGGAGCTATATAGAAATATGGACGAATTTTATCGAAACTTGGCAGACATCACTCTAGGCTCAATTCAGTACGTTGTGCAAAATTTCGGGCAAATCGAAAGATATATATGGATGTTGGTGCACAATTTACATGAAATCGGACGAAACTATATATGGGAGCTATATCTAAATCTGGACTGATTTTCACGAAACTTGGCAGACATAACTCTAGGCTCAATTCAGTACGTTATGCCAAATTTCGTGCAAATCGAAAGATATATATGGATTTTGGTCACAATTTACATGAAATCGGACGAAACTATATATGGTAGCTATATCTAAATCTTGACCGATTTTCACGGAGCTTGGCAGACATCATTCTAGACCTAAATGATTAGGCTGTACCAAATTTCGTGCTAATCGAAAGATATATAGGGACTTTGGGGCCCCATTTACATTAAATCGGACGAAACTATATATGTGAGCTATATCTAAATCGGGACCGATTTTCATGAAACTTGGCAGACATCATTCTAGGCTCAATTAAGTACGTTATGCCAAATTTCGTGCAAATCGAAGGATATATAGGGACTTTGGGGCACCATTTACATGAAATCGGACGAAACTATATATGGGAGCTATATCTAAATCTGGACCGATTTTCTTGAAACTGGGCAGACACCATTCTAGACTCAATTCAGTACGTTATGCCAAATTTCGTGCAAATCGAAAGATATATAGAGACTTTGGGGCACCATTTACATGAAATCGGACGAAACTATATATGGGAGCTATATCTAAATCTGGACCGATTTTCACGAAACTTGGCAGACATCACTCTAGGCTTAATTCAGTACGTTATGCCAAATTTCGTGCAAATCAAAAGATATATAGGGACTTTGGGCCACCATTTACATGAAATCGGACGAAACTATATATGGGAGCTATATCTAAATCTGGACCGATTTTCACGAAACTTGGCAGACATCATTCTAGACCTAAATGATTAGGCTGTACTAAATTTCGTGCAAATCGAAAGTTATATAGGGACTGTTTACATTAAATCGGTTAAATATATATATGGGAGCTATATCTAAAGCTGAACCGATTTTTCCCAATTTCAATAGGGTTCGTCCTTGGGCCAAATAAGTGACCTATGCCAAATTTCATCCAATTCGGATCATAAATGCGACCTGTACTTTGTTTACAATTTAACATGGACAGACGGACGGACGGACGGACGGACGGACGGACAGACGGACATGCGTAAATCGACTCAGAAAGTGATTCTATGCATATTCTCAAAAGGAACCATGGGTCTATCTCGATTATTTTTGCCTGTTACAAACATATGCACAAAGACATAATACCCTGTACCACAGTGTGGTGAAGGGTATAATTACATGTCAAACGGGCAGATTTGGATTCTTTGGTGTACCATTTGTATGAAATCGACAATTATGTATTGGAGCTATATATACAACACATTTACTTTTCGAGAAATCTATCAAAAAAATGAATTTCTTTTTCCCCAACCAAATATAGATATATTTTGATCAGCGTAAAATCCTACTTCAATTTAAGCATGTCCGTCTGTCTGTTGTTATCATGCTAACCTCTAAAAGAAATAGAATGTCAACATTTTGCATAGATTTGTATTTTGTCTGCAGGCAGGTCAGTTTCCAAAATGATCATACAAGGGTACCCCCCAATTTTTGATATTTTGGGGTTTTTGAGCGTGCTCTTCAAACGAATTCGCGGAAATTTGCTAAAATGTTAATTGATTAGGTTTACATTAACAACAACAACGTCATCGAGTCTGTTAACATTATCGCTGTAATGTAGTTGCTACATATCAGAATAAATTCCATCTTATGCTATCTTTCTGTATTCAATATTTACATTTGCGTCATTTACACTCAATATTGCATTCAGGCAAATCATTCCGATTCCGAAATGTTCTTCTACGATACAAATGATATTGAAAATAAGTAAAAACGATGTTATCTTTGGCCCGGCGGAATTTTTTATTCCCTCCACCATGAGGATGGCAATCAAAATACCTGAAGTAATTGGGGACTTCTAGGAGGAAACTCATGTTATCATAGAATCTTGAACATACCGAAAAATACGTGAGAAAAAGTTGATTGAAATTCTCAAAATATGTTATAGTGGGGCTACCATTATATTATAATTTTTTTATACCCTTCACCACACTGTGGTACAGGGTATTATGTCTTTGTGCATATGTTTGTAACAGGCAAAAGGAAACGAGATATACGCATGATTCCTTTTGAGAATATGCATAGAATTACTTTCTGAGTCGATTTACGTCGATTTACGATTCCGTCCGTCTGTCCGTCCCTGTATTTGGGATGAAATTTGGCATAGGTCACTTATTTGGCCCAAGGACGAACCCTATTGAAATTGGGGAAAATCGGTTCAGATTTAGATATATCTCCCATATATATTTCCGTCCGATTTAATGTAAATGATGCACCAAAGTCCCTACATATCTTTCGATTTGCACGAAATTTGGCACAGCGTAATGAATTAGGTCCAGAATGATGTGTACCATCAGGAAATCGGTTCAGGTTTAGATATAGCTCCCATATATAGTTTCGCCCGATTTAAGGTAAATGGTATACCCAAGTCCCTATAGATCATTCGATTTGTACGAAATTTGGCATAGAGTAGTTTCCTGTTTTCTGAAAATCGGTTCAGATTTAGATATATCTCCCACATATATTTTCGTCCGATTTAATGTAAATGGTGCACCAAAGTCCCTATATATCTTTCGATTTGCACGAAATTTGGCATAGCGTACTGAATTTGTTCTAGAATGATGTGTGTTATGTTTCCTGAAAATCGGTCCAGATTCAGATATAGCTCACATATATATTTTCATCCGATTTAATGTAAATGGTGTATCAAAGTCCCTAATATATTTCGATTTGCACAAAATTTGGCATAGCGTAATGAATTACGTCTAGACTGATGTGTGTCAAGTTTCGTGAAAATCAGTTCAGATTTAGACATAGCTCCCACATATATTTTTGTCCGATTTAATGTAAATGGTGTACCAAAGTCCCTATATATCTTTTTATTTGCACGCAATTTGGCATAGCGTAATGAATTACGTCTAGACTGATGTGTGTCAAGTTTCGTGAAAATCAGTTCAGATTTAGACATAGCTCTCATATATAGTTTCGCCGATTTCAGGTTAATGGTGCACCAAAGTCCCTGAAAATCATTCGATTTGCACGAATGTTGTCATAGCCTACTGAATTAAGTATAGAATGATGTGTGCTAAGTTTCGTGAAAATCGGTTCGGATTTAGATATAGCTACCATATATATTTTCGTCCGATTTAATGTAATTGGTGCACCAAAGTCCTTATATATATCATTAGATTTGCGCGAATTTTGGTATAGGGTACTGAATTAAGTCTAGAATGATGTGTGCTAAGCATCCTGAAAATCGGTTCAGATTTACATATACCTCCTATATATTTGTTCGTCCGGTTTTGGCCGATTGACACAACGTACTGAAGTTAATATAAATTAATCTCTGGCAAATTTCTGTTAAAATCGGTTCAGATGTAGATATAGCATAGCTTCCATATAAAATTTCGACCTATTCATGGTAATTGTAAACCAAGTAATCAATGGATGTCTTATTGAGATTAAATTTTAAACAGTGAAGCACACCAAATCGCGTGTGCCAAGTTTGCTTTAAATCAATTTACAACATTTTGCAAAGGTTGCAAATAGGCGACGTCTGTTAGGATACATATGTAGAATATACCCAAAGTGGTAAAGGGTATCATATAGTCGGCTCAGTCCGACTTTACTACTTTCCTTACTGGTTTATTTATTATTTTTTATCAAGAATGCGGTGAATATTTCGAGGTGTTGCAAATGGAATGAGGATATACGAAAGATCTTGATGCGAGAGATGATTAATTTGTTAATTTTTTATACCCTCCACAATAGTATGGTGGGTATATTAGTTTTGTCATTCCTTTTGTAACTCATCGAAATATTCATTTCCGACCCTATAAAGTATATATATTCTTGTTCAGGGTAAAATTCTAAGACAATCTAGCCAGGTCTGTCCGTCTGTTGTAATCACGCTCTTCTGAAGGAATTGAGATAGATCGCCAAAACTTTGCATAGATTCATCTTTTGTCTGCAGGAAGGTCAAGTTCGAAGATGGGCTATATCGGTCTACGTTTAGGCATGCATTGGGTTCTTTTTGGGCACCAAATGTCTCCACTAAAAATTATAAATATTGGTCCATATTTTCAGTCCACGCTTTCGAGTTTTAAAAATTAAAAATTGCTGAAATTTGTATTTGGTGTACACAATGGTTTACATAAACCGGTTCGTAGAATTATGGGTATAGGTTCACTTTTTGGTATGTTCCCTATATTTTCATTTCAAGTATCTGTCAGTATACCTATGGTGGAAGGTAATCAAAGTTCGGCCCGCTCGAACTTAACGCTTTTTCACTTGTTTGTATTTAATTTTGTTTCAATAACCTGTTTATTAAAGAGAATCTTTAATAATAATGTTGAGAAAAAAACAGCTCCCGAAGTCCTAACTCATTCCCATCCTCTGACTGCCTAGGCTAATTTCAAAATTGCATTCGATGCGAATTGTGTTCGTGTTACATTACACAAGCTAAAATTTATTCACTAAAATAATATAAATTTAATTTATTTTATATGTTTTATTTTTTATTAAATTATGCCTTAATTTTAAATAATACACTGTTATTGACATATATTATGCATACATATATATTTGAGAATTGTCAGCCTTCTCACCACACCTGACACCTTTCTTGGAGTAGCATACGACTTTGACGCGAACATTGGAATGCTTTTGAGAATTCCGTAAAATGTGCTAGGGCATCATTGATACGATCACTAACCTCACCATGTTCAGCGTCTGAGATATTCGGATCACAAAATAGTTGGGCAAAATTTAGGAAAAATATTTTCTTATAAGACATTTCTTGGCCCCTTAGATATTTCGCTTCGACGCTGGCATTTGGGAAGTTTTCAAAAAATGTCCGAAACGCATAACGCAACCCACTAATATCGGAAATTTTCTCATCCACCACATCGGGATAGAGTTCTCCTAGACAATTATAGTTTCCGGCAAATTTGGGTGTGGCCAAGGCGGTGGTGTATTGCCAGGCATTCATTTTACCTCGATAATCGACGTAGAGGCCTATACGATCGAAACCATGAAATATTTCATGAGCCAGAGTACTACCCAGAGAACTGTATTTATAAATGTTTTCATATTGAGGGTGATAGAGTGGCAGGCGTAGCGTGGTAAAGGGCACAATTATCACATTGGCTCTGGTTAGGAAATAGGGTGAGGAACTGCTACCTTCACCGTAAATTTCTAAATTGAAAAACTGACTTATATTTGTTGTCAGAGTATTGGGATGATTGGAATGGACGGCCTTGAAATTGAAGTTCAACAGCTTCAAGTGGTTTCCATAAAAGTCTATGGGACTCAATATCACATCATCATAGAAATATTCCAAAATCTCTTTGGCATTTTGTTGAGGCAAGTTACCGATTTTCAATTGGATGTTATCCAATTTTTGTGTTAAATATGTCAAAAGGCTGGAATTGAACTGTAAATGATTGCCGCTCAAGCTTTGCTTAAAATTCCGCACAATATTACCAAAAATTTCCTGTATGCCCTCCGAATATTCAGGGATTTCGGGATGTTGTTGCCGATACAACCAATGCATTGCCAATGGCATTAGATTTCTAAGGGTGTCCACACATTCCACCGGCTCGAATTTCCTCGGACCCTTTTGCTGTAAATGCCATAGGAATCGTACTTCTAAGTAGCGATTTATAAAATGATTGCTGTAATTTTTCAATAGCTCATTTAACTTGTCCATATATTCGAGATTTTGTATATACAATTCCATGTTCGTATCCAGGATTGTATAATCCAATATTGTTGCCAAATAGCGATGCAACCAAGGTAGGCGTAAATTCTTGACCTTCACCAATCGGGTACCCTCCTCGTCTTCAATGTCCTGTAACTCCCTCAGACGTTGTTCAAATTCCTGTATGTCTTGCCAAAGTTTTTCAAATGTTTTTACATTTGCCGGCATATCCAAATGTTGGAGTAAATCCTGCAGATTTTCATAGCTCAATGGGACAAAACCCCTACCCTCTACGGGCTTGTCCAAATCGATAATCGCTTTGGTATTATCATCTCTGCGATGTATCATTATTTCTTCAATGAAAATCCCATTCAAACCATATCTACGCATTATGGCCAAAGTGTGGACCCAATCATTGTGCGATCGGCTACTACGTCCTGTCCACAATTTCGGTAATTTTAGATTTTCTCGCTCCTTGATCCAATCCAAATATGAGAAATGATCAAATTGTTGAACCCGTATACAGGATTTATAGAACGCATGGACCTTCTTAACAAACATCGGCTGGCGTCTTAGGCTCATGGTATTCAGCAGTTGGGCCAATTCGCGATTCACTTCATAATCGGTCATGGATAGCATTTGATTCCGGCCATTGTAGGTTCTCTCATGATACTCCTCCCATTTGCCACAGGCGTATTGATAAAAATCATCACAGGGATCGGCCTGTACATCCATGGAACCTTCAATGAGTGCAGAGTATTTTTGATTCAGAACAAATCCATGGCTATAGGGTGCCGCATCAATGGACCTTGTACCGAATACGCCCACAATTACAACAATGGCTACTTGACAGAAAATCATTATTTTTCACGTTGTTGTTGTTGTTCACTTTTTTGCTATATTATGTTGTTGTAGGTTATTTCTACGTTTTATTGATTTAACAGCACAGCATTATTCTCAGCTCAATGTTAAATGAATACTGTCGCATTGTTTCCTTCCGACAATTCAATTGATACAAATCTGTTTTGAAAAATGAGACATGTTTGAAAGTAATTACGTCTATCTCTCATCGTATTTCTCTTGATTTTTTATTCTCTCTTGTTATGTTTTGGCGTTCAATTCAGAAGTATATTAGCACTGTTATCAGATCATTATACTATAGCATGGAAGGTATGCTCAGTTCACCATATGCCTTGTTTTTGGCTGTGGGCTTAAAGGGGTTAGAGATAACCACTCCCAAGTTTAAAAAAATCGAAATTTTTTATTGACTCATTTTAATGTACAGGTAAAATAGAATATAGAATTTCGGATCGGTCGATCGATCGTACAAAAATTGGCAGAGGTATGAGTATTCGATGAATTTAGGTGTGCAAAGATTTGAACAGAACTCAATTTCCTACACCTTACGGTTGAGAAATGTAAATTTGTCATACCGTTTGCAAAATCTTAGGAGACCCCATAAAGTGCATACAGAATACATTTATATGTCGATTTGCGTCAGACCCTTATCTCAGTTTTACCGTTGTCGGAGGCTATTTATCTGCAAAAAGAACTATCAGATGATGATTTAGTCAACTCGCGTTCCAGCACATCCTGGCAGCTGATGAACTTGAGTGCCGGATAAGCATTCTCTTCGAACGTTTGCTGTAGTAGCACTACACCATACACCTTGCTACGGTAAAAATGTGCCTCATATAAATATTGGATTTAGACACCATGTTTCTTTGGAACAAATCCGTCGGTCTGTGTGTCTGGCTGGCGATAACTCTCAAAGAAGGTAACCGATTTCACCCAAACTTTGCACATCGTAATATTTCTTCCAAACTTAAATCACTTTCGAAGATTTGAAATATCGTTCCACTCTTTCTGGTACCTCCCATACAAAATGTTCAAACTTTTGCTGAAAATATAATTTTAATTTCTTAAAGAATATTATTTCAAGTTTAACCAGTAAGGAATGTAGTAAAGTCGGACGGGCCGACTATATGATACCCTTCACCACTATGGGTATATTAAACAGTACATCGACTTAGATAAACATGTCATTTGATTGTTACAATGGGGCAAAAGTATGTAAATCGACTTCAAACAAATATCAATAGGACATCTGTTGGGCTATGTCTGTACTTCTAGAAAACGCAACTAGGTTATTCTATGCTCAATTTTGTAATTCTCAGCCGAATTTCAGGAAACTTGGCAGACATCACAATAAGCTCAATTCAGTACGTTATTCCAAATTTCGTGCAAACCGAAGGATATATAGGGACTTTGGTGCACCATTTACATGAAATCGGACGAAACTATATATGGGAACTATATCTGAATCTGGACCGAATTTCACGAAACTTGGCAGGCATCATTCTAGGCTCAATTCAGTTCGTTATGCCAAATTTCGTGCAAATCGAAAGATATATAGGGACTTTGGTGCACCATTTACATGAAATCGGATCGGAAACTATATATATGGGAGCTTTTTCTATTTCTGAAGCAATTTTCTCGAAACTTGGAAGACATCATTCTGGGCTCAATTCAGTTCGTTTTACCAAATCTCGTGCAAATCGACATATAAATAGGGTCTTTGGTGCACCATTTGCTTTAATTCGAACAAAAATATATATGGGAGCTATATCTAAATCTGGACCGATTTTCACGAAACTTAACAGACATCATTCTAGGCTCAATTCAGTACGTTATGCCAAATTTCGTGCAAATCGAAAGATATATATTAAACAGTACATCGACTTAGATAAATCTATAAACATGTCATTCGATTGTTACAATGGGGCAAAAGTATGTAAATCGACTTCAAACAAATATCAATAGGACATCCGTTGCGACCTGTACTTTGTTTACAATTTAACACCAACAGACGGACGGACATGCATAAATCGACTCAGAAAGTGATTGTTTGCATATTCTCAAAAGGAGCTATGGGTCTATCCCGTTTCCTTTTGCCTGTTACAAACATAGGCACAAAGACATAATACCCTGTACCACAGTATGGTTAAGGGTATAAAAATAGAAGTGGTTTTTTAAGGAATATTTTTTAAAGCCGACTATTGATTTGTTACCGAATGGTGTGAATTTTTAAAAGAATATTTTTTTCAAATCGGTGGATTTTTTTTAAGAATATTTTTATAGGCTCACTATAGGTGAAGACTTTAAATAAATATTTTTTCAAAGCCCACTATAGACGTGAATTTGTTAAAGAATATTTCAAGGGCCACAGAATGGCGTGTAGTTTTGAAATAATATTTTTTCAAGGCCTCCGAATGATGTCATTTTTTAAAGAATATTTTTTAAGGGCGAGAATTTTTAAATAATATTTCTCAAGAGTGTAGTTTTTTAAAGAAATTTTTTTCAAGGCTCACTATAGGCGTGGAGTTTTTATGCATATCGTTTCAAGGCCCACTGTAGGTGTGGAGAAAATAATAATTTTATAGGGTCCAATAGGGCGTGAATTGTTAAAAGAAAAATTCTCAATTAGCTCGTGAATTGTAAAAAGAATCCTTTTTCAAGGCCCTCTATAGGCGTGGAGTATTAGGTATATTATTTAAGGCCCATTATAGCCATGGAGACTAACTTTCTGAGTCGATTTATGCATGTCCGTCCGTCCGTCCGTCTGTTGATCTAAAATTGTAAACAAAGTACAGGTCGCATTTATAATCCGATTTGATAAAATTTGGTATAGCTCATTCATTTGACCCAAGAACGAACCCTATTAAATTTGGTAAAAACCGCTTCAAATTTGGATATAGCTCCCATATATTTTTTCGTCCGATTTTATGTAAATGGTGCACCAAAGTCCCTATATATCCTTCGATTTGCACCAAATTTGGCATAGCGTACTGAACTGAGTCTTGGTTAATGCATGCTAAGCTTCGTGGAAATAGGTTCAGAATTAGATATAGCTCCCATATATATTTTCGTCCGATTTAATGTAAATGGTGTACCAAAGTCGCTACATATTTTTCGATTTTCACGAAATTCGGCATACCGTAATTAATTAGGTCTAGAAATGTGTGTTGAGTTTCTGAAAATCGGCAGAGATTTAGATATAGCTCCTATATATATTTTCGTCCGATTTTATGTAAATGGTGCACCAAAGTCCCTATATATCATTCGAGTTACACGAAATTTGGCATATCGTACTGAATTGAGTCTAGTATGTGCCAAGTTTCGTTAAAACCTTTTCAAATTTGGATATAGCTCCCATATATATTTAGCTCCGATTTTATGTAAATGGTGCTCGACATTTAAGATCGTTCAATTTTATGTCAATGTTTCTTCGAAAAGGCGACGTCAGTTAGGATACATATGACAAATAAACCCAAATTGGTGAAGGGTATCATATAGTCGGTCCAGTCCGACTTTACTACTTTCCTTACTGGTTGTTATTGAAAACATCATTATTTGCAATTGGCGAACTGGTGGAGCTAGAACTCTTACATTTGGAATGAGGGTCAGTAATGGAGTGTAGGCTAAATGTATCAAAGGCTAAAATGTACTAATATTTTTTTGACAATGTCGTAGCATGTTAACGTATAGAGTTAAAAAATCTATATTTGGAATGCGAATCATAATGATCATACGTAATAGTATTTAACTCTGATTGATTCTATAAGACATATATGCTGTGATAGTTTTCAATGCAGAAATTGTACTCGAATAAGAATTGATAAGAATTTACATTTATAGGAGACGAGGTATAACATTGAAAGAGTAAAATATAATGAGAGGGTCAGTGCATTGTTAAATATAATAAAGATGCGTTGGCATCATCACTACCAGGGAAGTAGCTGAGTACCCCACAACATAAGATTGGTCTTCAAAATATCTATAATCATTCGGATTCCTTATGGGGGCTATGTCAATATATACATATTCTCTGCAGATAGATATTTTATCTTCTGCGAATACGAAATACCTTATCACATCAAAATCTTCTAGAATGAAACATTAAAATACAGAATTTGGGGCGGACACTACCACTTCGTTTGGATGAGCTACATTGGTCCACAGTTAGGCAAACCCCGCAACTGATTTGGCAAAATTACAGCTTTTGAAGTTCTTGGAAAGTAGAAAATGTCCTTACAAGAAAATGTGGTTAAAGTTCCAGCTTATATACATTACCAATATTTGGGTATCTTTGGGTTTTCGGTAATTTTTGGATTCTGAACACCTTTTCTAATCAACATGAATATACAGGCATGTCACAGATTCTGATCGGAATGGTTTCAATTTCGTATTTCCATTGTGGTACCATTTGTATTTGGCGAACCGGTACAGCTAGAAATCTGAAATTTAGATTGAGGGTCATTGATGGAGAAATTCGAACTATATGTATCCCAAAAGTACTAAATTTGTTACAATTTCGTAGTACAATTTGAATTTAGAGAAACGGATGAAGCTGGAATCCTGAAATTAACATTACCGTCGGAATGTAGGATAGCGATATGTAGGTAGTTTAGGAAATATGTACTTATGTGCACGAAAAGTACTAAATTGTACTATATTTCGTACAATTTGGATTTTCGGTGAACCGAATGAGATGGAATTCTGGAATTTGAAGTTAAGGTCATTGTTAAGGTGTAGGATTGGGGTATGTAGGAAATTTTGGTGATCCGATAGAGATAGATCACTGAAATTAGGAAATTAGGTTGGGGTTGGAGTGTAGGATTGGCTTATGGATGTAGTTTTGGAAATGCGACTTTTAACACTTTTTCCTAATAACTAATAGGTGCAAATATAACATTTACATTGAATATACATATGATATACTTTAAGTTCACCCCACGCCCCACGTTCATAGGTGCTCCCCGTCTCCCCTACAATTTGAATTTTGGGTGCTCAGATCCTTA